CAGTAGCCAAAAGCCTACAATGACTAGAGCAGGGCACCCCACTTGTGATCCAGCTTCCTGCTGATGCACCTGGGAAAGCAATGGAAGATGGTGGGCATGAATTCAAACCTTTGCATCATTTCCCACTTGGGTCGAGTTTTTGTTTTTCATTTTGGCATGACTCAGATCTGGCTAATGCAGCATTCAGAGAAAGAAACAGTGGATGGAAGATCCTTTTTCTCTTTCTGGCTAGCCAGAGTATTGTAAAGCAAACCAACAAACCAGAGGCATGAGAGCAACAGCTTCCAAGACACCCTTAAGGGGCTGTGGCTAACAGGTTAAGCTGCCACTTGCATTGCTAGCATCCCAAAGGGGCACTGATTTAACTCCCAGAAGCTTCACTTCCAACTTAGTTCTCTGCTAATGTTGCTGGGAAAGACCAGAAGATGGTTCAAGTGCTTGGATCCCTGTGACCATGAGAGACGGGGATGAAGATTTTGGCTCCTGGCCCTAGCCTTGCACAGTGGCCCTGATTATTGTAGCCATTTGGAAAGTGAACCAATGCGTAATTTTTTTTCTGTCTGTATCTCTGCTTCTCTCCATAACTCTAGAATTTAAAAAGAATTCTTTTTTCTCTTAAATGCATGTTTACAGAGTAGTTATAATCATAAAAAACTGGTAAAGACAAAATATAGACATGTAGACCAACAGAACAGATTAGAAACCCTCAGAAGCAACGCAAACATTCACAACCATTATTTCACAAACAAATTAAAATTACTCCCTGAAGAGAAGACAGTCTCTTGAACAGACAGCATTGACAAAAGTGGAGTCCTGCATGACCCCCATATGCAGGAGTGTAAAGCAAGACCTCTACCTTTTACCTCACACAAAAATCAACTCAAAATAAATCAAGGGTCTAAATCTATGACCTGACACCAATTCAGTTAAAAAAATGGTCTTCCTCCTTCCACTAGCTCAACATTTTTCTGTTTGAGTGCATATTGACATTATAGGTGTCGACAATAATAGGATGTCCAGCACCTTATTGTAAAGATAAACAGTGTAATTGGGAGCCCTGTGCCTATGGAACTATAGGAACTATATAATGAAAAGCAAAAATATTATTAATTTTACTAATCTTTATAATAAACATAAAACTTGAAAAATAGAAATAGATAAGGACAGTGGAAAAAAACCCAAATTAACAATTTTTCCAAAAACTGGACACAAAACATGAAGAGACATTTTTCAAAAAATAAAACAAGAGACCAACAGGCAAATGAAGACTCAAGACCACAAAGGCATTATTAAAAAGAAAATAAAACCACCATGAAGTTTCACCAAACACAAACTAAATGGTTATCATTCAAAAGTAGAGAAAAAAACTAAAAAGAATCCTGGTAAGGATGTGTTGGGAAATGTATCCTACTATGCTGTTGACTGGAGTATAAACTAGCTCAACCATTAAGCAGAGCAGTAAAGAAATTCCTCAGAAACCTGAAAATTTTTCTACCACATGACAAACATCTGGAAGATTCATTTTTTATTCATTTTTCAAAATTTATTTATTTTTGTTAGAAAGGTAGATGTACAGAGAGAAGGAGAGACAGAGATCTTCCATCTGCTGGTGTACTTTCCAGATGACCACAATGGCTGGAGCTGAGCCAATCTGAATCCAGAGGCAGGAGCTTCCTGTGGGTCTTCTGTATGGATGCAAGGGCCCAAGAATACACCCTCTGCTATTTTTCCATTCCGTAAGCAAAGAGCTGGATCGGACCTGTAGCAGTTGGTAGTTGTCAGAATATGGGATGCTGACACTTGAGGTGAGGCATTAGCTTGCTAAGCTACCCAGCCGACCCATTTCTGAGAATGTACCCAAAGGAAATGAAATTAGCATGTGATGCAGTTATTTGTGGCCAATATTTATGCCCACTCAATTTATCATAGCTAAGATTTTGAATTTACTTAGATGTGCATCAACAGACAATTGGATAAAGAAAATAGTTTATCTATCTATCTATCTTGCTATCTATCTTGCTATCTATCTATCTTTCTATCTAGTGGAATAATATTCAGCCACAAAAAGAACAAAATCCTATCTCTTGCCAACAAGATAGATTCAAATGTAGATAATTATGTTTAGTAAAATAATCCCATTGCAAAAAGATAAATATAATATGGTTCCTCGGGTATGTGCAAATAAACACATAATCTAGAAATGTGGGACAATAAAGCTGACATGATTTGATTGCTGTGAATAGCCTTTGCTTAAATTCCTCTGGAACAGTAATTTTTCTACTTTTTATGTGTTAACATTAGGGTTACAGGTTTATTAAGAGTGTAATTATATGGCTCAGCGCAGTAGGCTAGTGGCTAAAGTTCTCAACTTGCAAGCACTGGGATCCCATGTGGGCACTGCTTCTAATCCCAGCAACCCTGGTTCCCATCCAGCTCCCTGCTTGTGGCCTGGAAAAGCAGTGAAGGATGGCCCAAGGCTTTGGGACTGTGCATCTGTGTGGGAGACTCGGAAGAGGTTCTGGACTCCTGGCTTCAGACTGGTGCAGCTCTGGCTGTTGAGGCCGCTTGGGGAGTGAATCAGTGGGCAGAAGACCTTCCTGTCTCTCTTCCTCTCTGTATATCTGACTTTACAATAAAGGTAAATCAATCTTTTTTAAAAAAGATTGCAATAATAAAGTAAAATGAAAATATGTTACCACCAATTAAACAAAACAACAGCAAAAGAAAAAGAGCAAATTAAGGAAGGAGGGAGGATTTAGAGAGGGAGAAAGAGGTATGATTATCATCTTATACTTGTATCTATGAGACATTAAATATATACCCTTTATATTAACAAAAATTTAAATTTGCTTAAAATATGATCTCTTATTTAGAAATAATGATTTTTAAATTCTTTGTACAATATTTTATAGCTTAACATCTGATTAGAAGAAACGCATATATCTATATTATACACATTGAAACTGAAATACATAATCTCTAAGGGACAAAAATCTTGTCCTTTGTGTTTTTTTTCCTGGAATCATGAATCATGTGAAACAGATGCCTTCATTTTGTATTTAGCCGAGTACAAAGAGCTATGTTGCAGTAGTAATGCTTATATTTACATAAAACAATTCCTTTCATAGTGTTTTATGAAAATGTTGCATAACTGGACAAGCAAATTTAACTTTCTTCATGGAATGTTTAGCAAGAAATAAAAAATGAACATTAGGAAATCCATCTTCTGAAAATAATCTTTATTCCAATTATACAACTTCAATAGGACACTCCTATAGAATATTTCTTAAACAAAAAAGATGCTGTACACATTGTTAGAAATGTAACTTTCTTAGCTTTTTTTCTTTTTAAAATGCATGCCCTTAAGCTGAAAGACTTTCAGCATCATCTTTTAGTTTGCTTGTGATCATGGAAGTCTTATACAGGTAGGTTATCTTTACATAAATCTTTGAATAGTGTGAGTATGTGTATTACTTTATGTATTCTCCAGTATTAGACCCTAAATCTTCGTAAATCAAACATGTATCCAAATTGCTTTTGAAACAACAGCAAGACAATCATGATGAAATATTGCCTTAATGAGCCTTTTGGAAAATTACGTTTAAATAGAATGAACCTCCAGGAAACCATCATTCAGCTCTAACAAAGTTGCCGATTTCATTTTGTTGATTCTACCACTTCCCTTTAAGTGATTTATTCTAAACAAAGTCTCAGACATGCTATTTTGTCTGCAAACAGTTCGGTATTAAAATGAACTGTTTCCTATCATCCCTGGTAAGATGTGAAAAATGATGAAGTCTTCAGAAAAGTTTCAGGTACAATACAAAGAATACCTGCAAATCTTTTCACTAAAATTTAGCAATTGTTACAGTCTAGCCAAATGTGCTCTTTCTCATTCAAATGTGCTTGCACACACTCTTGTGTGCTAACTTTTCCTTTAAAAAATTGTATGTATTTTTACTGTTAAGTCAGATTTATAGAGTGAAGGAGAGACAGAAAGATCTTCCATTTACTGGTTCACTCCCCAAGTGGCTGCAAGTGCCGTAGCTGAACTGATCCAAATCCAGGAGCCAGGAACTTCTTCGGGGTCTGCAACGGGGATGCAGGGTCCCAAGACCTTGGGCCATCATTGGCTGCTTTTCCAAGTTTCTGAGCAGTCACTCCTTTTCTCCTATAAAAATCCCATTCTCCCTGTCAGTATGTACTCAGCAAAATGGAGAGAAGTTTAAGAATGAGGCAAAATGAATTTTGCAAATAAACAGCAATGTAATGACTAAAGCAGTACTGCTTTCATGTATATAGATGCATCATGTAGATATACAGATACAGATGTAGGTATACACATATTCAGTGGTTTTTAGGGCTAATTTTTGACCAGCTATCACTTAGCCTTAGCTTTGTATCTCCGATTAATTGTACACAATCCATTCTTAAAAAAAAAATAAAGTTATCCATTGATTAATATGCATTGCTCAAATGTTACAACTCTTTCTTCACATTCTCTTAAAACCCATGTTTCTGTGAACTCTACCTTTGAGTTCTACTGTGACCAAAGTAAGGATTTAAGCAAAAAGGGAAGAGGGGAGGGTCTCACTGGAATACTGGCAGAGAACTTCATTCTCTGGAGCTTGCTTTCCACAGAATGTTCCAGGAGAGCTTCTTTCAAAACACAGCACTCCAAGGGGGCCAGAGCACACAATGAGCAGTGGAAGCTGCAGAAAACCAGTTTGAGGCAGATCTTTGCGGGGCCATTTGCATTTCCCTCAATGTAATACTAAATTTTACATCCAGGTGAAGGATTTGCTATTTTACAAATACACACTGTAGGAAAATGGATGTTACTTACATGTATGAGCAGGAGGGCCCTTTCCCCCTTATCTTTTGCTGCATCAGAGTCCTAACCATGGCTATAAAAACACTGGAAAACTGCTTCTCAGAGAGGCAGTTTCATTAGGAGCTATATCTCCCAATTGTCTCCTTTACTTGTCATGAGCATAGAAAGCTCTGCTTGGTACAAGTCCCTCCTGAGGCTGTTGAGCTGATGACACTGCAAGCTGATAGACCCCACACCTCTGATAGCACTAGTTATGTTCTCTGTGAAAATATAAAGTCCATTTAGTCATGTATGCCAACAGTCTAAAAAAAAACTCAGAAGCGTAATCGTAACCTTTCATGTCTCTCTCTAGACCTCACATTTCTGGAGCCTCTCTCAGAGGCCTGTCACAAATTTACACACCTGTACAGGACAGGCTGGTGTTGTGAATGTGTGAGGTAGGATAGAGTGGGAGAGAGAATGAGCTGAGGGCAAAAGGGAGAATTCACAGCTTATCTGAACAGGGCAGGCTGCAGCTCCTGCATTGAGTCAATTGTTGCCAAGGGGAAATTGTGAGCCTTGCTTGCCAGATTTTGCAATTCCTCCAGAAGCTAGAAATCTGATTTGTATGAGACATTTCATGGTTTCTAAATATTGGTATCCATTCTAAATTTCAACATGCTGTGTAGCTCGGCACCATGCAAGCCAAACAAAACAAATTCGAATGCTTCTGCTTGTCAGCTGCCAATAGTGACTTCTGTTTTAATCAATCTAAGGATGATAGACATTCAGAATCCTAGGTTTCTTCATTTGCACATATTATATTCTATCCTCACCTTACTGCAATATTGATCTAGAAGTGGAAACCAATCATGTTATGGTACTAATATGCTAAGACTAGCACATTCAGTAGTTCAATCTACATTTTACTCTTTTCTGCCACATTTATTCTTTTTCTTCTTCACTTTAACCTTACCTCATTTCTATGTGGTCTATATTCAAACCATTCTTATATGGCAAGCCTGTAGTTCCTCTGCAAATTAGTTTCTCCCCTTATGACAAAATGGTACCAATTTAAAAAATTTACTTACTATTTCCTATGTTTAAACTCTTGTAGAACAATGACATGATTTTCCTTAAGTGAATATATCTACTTTTGAAGAAATAAGCATATGGGATGTGTAAAATATTGCCTGTTTAAGTTTATATAAATAACATAAGCTAAAAAGATTGATCATCACAGCAATGTGACAAAAATTTTAGTAAATAAAAATATTAAAAGTAAAATATTAAATACTGGGGAGGAATCAGTGCTTCTCTATTTCAGTTCTTTAAGGCAATGAAATGAACATTTCTGTAAGACAGAAATATAGCATTTGATTTTGTATTTGGCAACACAGACTGGATCTGTGTTTATCTGATAGAAGTTATTGCAATAACCATTGAAAAGTTTTTCTACTGATGACAACAAATGTGCAAATGCTGTCTCTTTTGCAAGTGATGAAACACTGTAGTACTTGTTATCTCATTAGCTAAGATACCTAGTTTTGTTTTCTCTGTGTGTTCTTAAAATGTTACTAATTCAAGAGCACTGCTGCTCAGACACTAGTGGAAATTCCGGAAAATGAGTGCTTTTGTTTTCTATATGGTCATAAATAATATCTAAGGTATTCAATACAAATTTGATATTTAAGCTGGAATTAACACAAAATAATGTCATAAATTTAAATATCAAAACATAATTTGTACTAATACCAATTTCTAGCAAAGTTTTCAATACTGATTGCTATTAATAGCAGCATTGCATAAAAAAGCCATTACAGTTGTACATTCTTATTTCATGTGGCAAGCTTAATTGTATTGATTTTATTATTACATATTTGAACATGTACATTATTTAAAATAAATAGCACCATTACTTCATACATTGGCTTTTTATTTCCCCGTCTTAATGTGAATATATGGAATGATGAAATGTATGATTATGAAATCAAACAATTGAAATTCCATTTAAATCTTAAATTCATAAATAATTTTTACTTTCATTTTCAATCTGTACTCTCACGTATCTAGAAAAATACCAAAAAGGAAAGTATGTCATCGGAAAGCAGCATAATCATCAGCTTTAACTATGTTCTTAAAGAAGAAACATTACCTCAGCTAAAGGCAACCGCCTGGGTTGTCTTGTACCTAGGCAAGTACTACACTGCTGGGAGACAAGCAGCTAATAGCTTGCAGCACTCTGTGCCTGGTTAATGCCAAATTTGTGTTAACTATACCAGTGTGCCAGCACAGTTGCCTATTCTATGTTTTTAGTTAATGATAGGTGTGGGGCAAATGCCAACACTTGGGCAGACAGTGTCTGAGGACCGATGCACCAGTGTGTGGGGCCTGGGTAGGCAGGCAGGGCCTCAGGCTGGCAAGACACACTGCCAGAGGACCAAACTTGGGGAACTGTGCATGCGCAGGCATGAGGGGTTGTGGATTACTCAGGGAAGCAGATTGTGAGATGGTGGGAGGGAGTCTCAGAGGGAGAATGCAACACGTGAAGAGTGATTTCTGGGGGATTTCCACTAACCACACTACTACAATTGCAGGTGAACAAGGGGTTGAGAACAGGTAGCTGTGGCTGGGGTGGTGGGGTGGGGGGAAGGTGTCTGTCAGATATCTACTATAGTGCCCACCAGTGAGTGTTGGGGAAGAAGTTGAACCACATCAAGCTGGGCCATATCACTAACCAGTGTATGAAAGAACTGCCTATAGGAATAGATTCTGTGGAGGATTGTTGGCTGAGCACTATGGGGCTGCCATACCAGCTGGTTTACTCAAGGGCTGGGAGTAGTGACAGGAGAGGCTAGGCATAGCCATGGAACTCACCAACAATCATAGGTATTAGGGTTGGGAACAGGATGGGCTAGTCCAAGCTGCAATACCTAAGAATTTGGTGTGGGACAGGCCAGACTACAACACCCACCAAAACACACAATGGCTAAGCCTGGGGAGCAGACTATGCTGGATAAGGGCCTAACACCCACAAGCATGCATGAGATATGGTTCTGCAAGTGGACCTCGTAGAGGAAGGTGGGAACACCCCTGATGGCCCATCACTCCTGCCTGTGAACACGTGAGTCAGGGCTGGATGTGGGTCAGGTCAGGCAGAGCTGCTTCATTTGTTGGCAGGTTTATGGATGGATTCTGGTGGGGGAGCAGACTGAGCAGAGCCAGAGCAAACCATAGCACAATGCCATCAGCAAGAGACAAGATGGGGTCCAGGTCAGGCTGAGCTAGTCTAAGCCATCACAGCTACTGGTTTGCATGGAAACCAGGGATGGGAGCAGGTTGGGCAGGACTTTGCTGCAGCACCCAGCAGCAGGAGTTGGGACTGGAGTTGAGCCATGCCAGGCAAGGCTGCAACATCCAATGGTAAAGGCCATGCTGGGTGATGGGCTATGCCAGTCTGGGTCAAAGCAAATACCAGCATACACCAGATTTGTGGCTGGGAGAAAGTCTGTTATTAAAGGTAAGTGGATGCCCTGGTGGGGCTGTGTCTCCCACTGGTGAGTATAAGAGCTGGAATGGGAGGTGGCAGTTTGAGCTGGATATGGTTGTGGCACCCCTTTGCATGGGTGTGAATGAGTCTGGGATGTACGAACATGGCTAGGTTCCAGCAAGCATTGGTGTTTGCAAGAGACAGGTGGGTATAGGACAGACTGGCTAAGTTTCTGCACCCACCGAAACATGCAGAACTGGGTCTAGGGGTGGAGCAGACATATCTGCGCTGTACCACCCAACAGTAAGAACCAGAAAGGGTGTGGGCTAGTTGGGCATGGCCATGTACCTTCCAGGACAGGAGGTGGGCCAAGTCATGCTGGGCTAAGATTCATCAGTGTGTGTAACATCTGCTACTGGGAGGTGATCTAATAGGGGAACTAGTGTTACTCCCCTGCCAGAATGAGGTCCCTGTAGGTGAATACAATAATCAAAGGTAGGAGCAGCCAACTCAAAGTCAGGTTACAGTACTAACCAGCACAGGTATGGGTCAATTCTGGGAGAAGGCAAGGTTATACTTGTTTATAATACCCACTGGAAGATGTGAGATTGTGGATAAAGTGCAAGACATGCCAAGTTGAGCAGCAATATCAGCCAGTTCATATTAGGGCTGGGACTGGGGACTGGCTGGACTGGGCTAGGCTGCAGCCCCCATCAGCATGAGCTGGAACTGGGGTAGACTGGTCTGAGCTTGGCTGCTGCACTCACTGGTGATTGCTGAGATGAAATGAATCATGCCAGTCTGGGCACAGCATTCACCAGCACATGTAAGACTCAGGATTGGGGGCAACCCAGTAGGGGTTCCTTGCTGAGTCACTGCTCCTGCTCATGAATATGAGAACTAACTTGGGCAGATAAGGCTGGGCAGGTGTATAAAGATTGTTGACCTGCATCTGAGCTTGGTTAGGGGGAGAGCCAGGTTGAGCTAAGCGGCCATATCCACTGAGACATGCATGAGCCAGAGTAAGTACAGGCTAGTTTGGCTTTGCCACAACATCAGCTGACAAGAAATGGAAGTGGGGACAAGTTCTGCCAGGCTAGACTGTAGAACCATCTGGAAAGAAGATCTGGGGCCAGGAGTGGACCTAGCAATCAAATTTTGGATATCCCTCTGATGGGCTGGGGGCAGGCCCAACTGGACAGCCAGTGGCACCTACCAGCATCATTATGGGATGGATGGTGGAGTTGATCAGTCTGCGCTAGGCCCCAATATCTACTGAAGTTTATGGGAGCCAAATGGGAGCCAGGACTGACTAGGTCTGCTGAACACACTGGTAATGTGCATACTTCAGTTTCTGCTTGTGAGCATGAGGGCCTATTACATGATTGGCAGTGTTAGGCTAGTCTGCAGCATCCATCACTTGATTATGAGATGTGGCTGGGGACAGAACTGACCAGGTGACTGCAACTAACAGTGTGTGTAGGCCGATATGGGATGGACTTGACGGGACACTTCACTGACTGGCACACACAGGAATTAAGTTGGGGTCACCTCTAGTGAGGTTTCTCTGGGGAGCTCCCAACTGGAATCAAAACTCCAACTACAGGACGATTCATAGGATCTGGGTCTGACTGTGGTGTGCATGTATCAAAACTGGGCCACCTCAATTGCTTTGAAGATGGTGCAGTGGATGTCATGCCCGGAAACAAATAGGGGACATGACAACCATTTCACTGAGACCTGCAGAGGACATCTAGGACCATGACAGAGGCTAGAAGGCAGAATAAATTGGACAGCTCCTCAGTCAAGCTTTAACAGCAAGTATCTGGGCAAATCAAGACTCTAAAGTAGACTGAGTTAGCCAATAGTCCTTGGAACAACATCCTCGATCTTGGAATAACGAAATCAACAGCATCTCAGAACTCTCAAAACCACTGAAGCACTATCCTCAGAACATGCTCCACTTTGGGAACCCTTGGATGACATAAGGTGTCCATTTCTCATTCTTGGCCACTGATGCAGTTGGGCCTCTGGGAGCAGCCCACTCCCATTTTCTCCCCATTTGCCTCAAATACATGAAGCAAGATGGGAAGCAGTTGCTTCATTCACTTTCTCCCATTCCTTGATTTCCCTACCCTAATTGATGTCCCACATGGGCATGCATCTCTCCCAATTTTATAATTATCATCAAAAATAAGATGAATTTGTTATTTAACAAAATAAAAATTCATAAATAAGTTAAATGCTGTTTTATTTTTATACTTGTCAGTGATCTTCATTTGGCAAAAACAAATGATTATAAATGTATTTTATGTAAATCTAAATTTTATGTCAATTAGCAGTCAGACTTACAAAGGACTCCATATATGTTAAGCTATGCATTTAATGTTATAATTCATGTGATATTTATTCATATGCATTTCATTTTATTAGCTAATAGAAAATGAATCCATTCAGATTTCATCATAGGTCTGATAATGAAAAACTAACCCAGTTGTACCAGTTGTGAGCACTTCCCAAAGGCAATCACTAAACACTGTTTTAAGATTAAAATTTCACCATATTAATTTATGATTTTAAGATTTAAATGTCAGAAACCAAATTGTATTCAAGCCATAGCATTCACTATTATCATTATTACTATTATTATTGTTGTTATTTTTTCAAGATGTTTTTATTTTTATTGGAAAGTCAGATTTACTGAGAGAAGGAGAGAGAGAGAGAAAGAGATCTTCTATCCACTGATTCAATGGCCACAGCTGAACTAATCCAAAGCCAGGAGCCAGGAGCCTCTTCCAGGTCTGCCACATGGATGCAGGGTCCCAAGACCTTGGACCATCGTTGACTGCTTTCCAGGCCATAAGTAGGGAGTTGGATGGGAAAGTGGGGCACCCAGGACACAAACTGGAACCCATATGGGATCCCAGAGCATGCAAGGTGAAGACTTGAGCCACTCGGCAACCACACTGGACACAGTATTCACCATATATTCTCAGATTAACTTTAGTGGAGTATTTTAGGGTAGTGGTAGAAATTTCCAAGTTGATTCCAGGACCAGAATAATCTGGCTCCAAATTGTTGCTGATCATGTTCTTTGTCTCTGTAACGCCTCTGTTGTCTCCCAAGTAGGGTAACTGTGAAGATCAAGGGTGGTAAATTATGTGGATAAGTCATTGCTTTTTGGCTTTGTTTCTCCTCTGAACATAACATGAAGAGGCCAAGGTTTTAAGATGCATGACGAAAATTGGTTCAAATAATTCTGATCAACAGTCTTTACAAATATGGACAGATCTCCAAGTAATATTTTCTGGAATAAATTTTGTATTTTCTTGTTTTCATAAGACTTTGTGTGAATATAAATTGACATGAACACACAATCAAAGAAAAAGCATACATCTGTAAGATTTTTTCCTACCTGCTGAGCCCTACTGGAACACTGGGACAGTGAACAAGAGGGTAATATCATAAGCCATTATTATTATCTCATCAATGAAATAATTTATAATGGTGATGGGGCAAGCTGTGTGCTAATAATGAAGTCATCCCATACAGTTTTAAAAAGCTACATATGGTGATGTACCACTTCCCACTGTTCCACATCTATTTATAACTCAATTATCTGATGCTGTTGTTAAGGGGGCTGTTTTCAGACTGAACAGTATGAGCTAAAATGATGGCAAAACAATTTTATGAAATATATTTATCCTAATCTGATATTTCTTTCTTTGCAGCCTAGTGCCCATCTCTCTATAATCCCATCTAGTAGGTATTTGGTTTATAGATTGCATTATTTACTTTCATTTTTATATTTGTATATACAAAAATTTAAATCTGGTGTTATTAATAATAGGATTGCAGTGTTAGATCCAGCCAAGGAATAAATTAGGCTCATTTGAGAAGAACATTTCTTGTCTGCTATGAACGTACTGTTTCAGAAGTTATCATTATGCTGGATAATGACCACAAAAATGTTAATGTCCCTAGCAATGTACCTCACTTACTTCCTCAATGACTCACTGGAAATCTAGCTGGCCATATGGGTACTTTCAGCATCCTACATTACCAATTGTTTGAGTACTAAAATAAGTTGTAGTATTTCTTTAACCTTTTGTGTGTGTGTGTATGCATGTGCGTACAGCTAAATGTTATGAGGGTTCGTATTTTTAACATTGATTTAATAATCGTGATTTTTACTTGATTGATTTTTCTAATTTACCTGTTTATTGTGATTTGCTATCTTATCAAATTGTTCTTACTCAAAACAATTTTCACTATTTAAGGTACATGGAAGTACCTTAAATAAATATTTCCTTGAAGAATAATGTGGCAGACAGAAAAGTAATAAAACTAATCAGTGATGTCTTACATTCATTATAACGTGAGCACATTTCTCATTACAGTAACATATTGTGTTGTTTTTCCCTCCATATAATTTGAATTTAAGGGAATTCTAACAACTTTTCTAGAAAAACACATCTTTTTTGAGGGTCAAGTATGAAGTGGGCACGATTGGGCTGGACTGCAACACCCATTGGTTCCAGTGGAAGTCAGGGCTGGAAACAGAACTGACCTAGCAATTGCAATGGCCAGCAATGTGCAGAAGCTGATTGGGGTGACAGACTGTATTGGACCCTGTACTGGCATTCACACACAAGAATCAGGTCTGGGATCACCACAGACGAAGTTTTTTTGAGATCCCTCCAACTGAACTACTGATCTCAGAACCCCAACCATGAAGAGATTATGTCAGCCAGTGGATTCAGAATAGATTTCATCATGCTTGGAATGGTGAGATTGGCAGCAATTCAGGACTTTTGAACTATCAAAACTGTATGAGGAGGATCCTCGGAGCATGCCTCACATTGGGCACCTGGAATGGGTGGGAGGCTGGTTGGGGCTTCTCCCTTTGTTCCTCCTCTGATCTCAGATACAGGGGAAAAAATTATGATAATAGTGTGGAAAAAATTGTATTACCCACTTTCCTATAGCTCCTGATCAACTAAGTAAGTACCTTTGCACTCCAATCAACTAAGATTATAAAATAAATAAATAAATAAATAAATAAATAAATAAAAATTTAAAAAGATACATCCTTAAAGGAACTATTGTTTAAGCAGAAGAGATAAACTCCTTAGTAGTACATGATAACATTAACAATATCAGCTAAATAAGGACAAAATTGCAATCCTGTAAACTAGAGTTCATCTAACAATCTTGTGGTGCAGGAGTGTTTGATACACTAAGAAATTCACTTCTAGGAATTTTCTTATTTATATTAAACTCCCAAGAAGTAAAAATGTCAAATGAGAGGCAGTGTCAAGTGATTGGAACCCACCATCGAAATGCATGAATAAATAAGTCAATATAAGACATTTTTAAAAAGAGAAATTATTTATTTAAGCAATGTCCTGTCAAAAGCAAATGGAGAATGCTCATCTGATAAAAGTGGAGAAGGTAAGCATCCATCCTGGCTAATTTTTAGATTCTTGTGCTCACATCATTATGGTAAGAATCACGTATGTGGCACCTGGTGCCTAGGAGGGGTTCAGTTGCTCTTCATGGGTTATTGTGTGAGGTAGATTCTTATGATGCCTATGGGTTGGAGTATTATTACTCTCTCCTCAGCGACATATTTTCATCTTCAAAGCAGAGACACCAGTGAAATCACTTGTCTCCATGATCTCTGTGCTGTGTTTCAGGAATCAATTCTACATGCACATTTCTCTCCAGAGCATTTGACAAAGTAGAAAGGGACTTCCACATTTCAGCGGGATTTGCCACCTCACTCATGTACAATTAACAGAGGTAATCCTACCAGTGGCTGGAATCACTATTGCCACTTTCTACCAGGACCACAGTGCTGTTTAAGAATGCCTAAAAAATAATAACAGTTACGTTTTGGGAATTTCTTATATAGAAACAATACTGAGAAGCATGCACAGATGGTGTCCATATCTCCTCCCATCAAACAAGCTTCTTATTATTAGTAGCCATCACCACCATGTTACCTTTGTTAACAGTTAATGAACCTGTGATGCCTCGTTATAAATTAAGTTCTATAACTTATGTAAGAGTGCTGTAAGACTCTTGTTGTTGTATACTCTATGAGTCTGGGATAAGGCATCAGGATTTTCCCCTTACTATACTGAAATACTTGAGTTAGCTAAGTAAAGAAGAGGCATTTATTTAAATCACTTCGATGAGTAGTTCATAGATAACCCTAATACATGTGAATTCATATGACAGCGAGGAACATCAGAGGCAATTTAGCGATCAGGCTCATTATTATATCTTACTCTAGAGAGATTCACAATCCTCCCTTTATGGAAGCAGTGCCCTCACTGATTTATGGACTTTCTACTGGACCTCAGCTATTACAATTCCACAGCATGTCACAGCAACATTATACCAAAAGATCAAGGATCATTGGATCATTGGATTTGGGGTGTGTCCCCTAGACAATCCAAGTGTAATGGTATATATCTATCATTACAGTAGCATACAGAACAACTTCATTGCCCCATGGATCCTCTCTACTCTCTCTATTCCTGCATCTCTAACTTTCAGAATTCACTGACTTTATTATATTCTCTCTCTAGCATTGCCTTTCTCTGAATGTGTTATAGTTGTAACCATATGATATGCTGTCTTTTCATATTGACTTCTTTCATTTAATAAAATGTAGTGTAGTTAAGTTTCGGTATATTTCTTTATGACTTGAAAACTTATTTCTTTTTTAGTGATGGATAATATTTCACTTTCCAAATATACTATAGTTTACTTATCCACTCACAAACTGAAGGGCATCTTGGCTGCTTCCAAGTTTTGACAATAAAGAATGAAGCTGCCAGTGGCACCAAGGCCAAGCCTTCATGCTGCCCTACAGCAGGCTCTGGGGACTTGAAGGTGTGGGCTTACACAAGGTCTAGGATATGGGACAAGTGAGGATGAGCAGGAGGGACCTGAGGGAATGACTACTGAGGGACCTATGTAGACAAGGCCATTGTACTTGCAGGTTAGTGAGGTGGCAGAAACCAAGCAGTTTGGAGGGGGAATGGCAGGAGCTGTAAGAGTCAGACTGAAGCATGAGCACACATGGGAGACCTAGCTGGAGCATTTAGCAGTGGCCATAAATGAATACCACTCACTGGAACACATTAAAGCTAGACTGGGGGCCTATCTGGCAGGGCTAGATCACAGTACTCACCAGGGAGAGTCAGAACAGAGGTGGGAGCAGGTATTGTTCGGCAACACGCAAGAGAATAAAGTCTGGGAGCAGAACATGTGAACCCACACACCTCAATCTCTGCTGTCATGTGCAAATCTGGGGCTAGGAACAGGCCTGGTTGGGACCTAGGTGACACATCAGCTAGGTTGCGGTTCCCACTGGTAAGCACAAGAGCCAGAATGGGGGCAGTGGGTAGGGATGACATTACTGCAGCCTCCCTCAATATGGATGTGGACTATGTCTGGGAGTGCCAGATTGGTCTAGATTCCAGAACCCACTGGTACTCATGAGAGCCACGGTGGGTGTAGAATGGGCTGGGCTAGAGCTTGGTTCCTGCTAAACCATGTGAGAGCTGTGTCTAGGCATGAACCACTTGTGGTTGGGCTGTAACACCCAACAGCAAGAACCAGAAAGGATGTGGGCCAGTTGGGCAAGGATATTGTTCCTGCCAGGACAACAGGTAAACAAATTCAGTCTGTGCAAAGGATCCACCATTGTGGACCCACCATTGTGGGAAAGATCTGCCACTTGGAGGAGAGCTGATAGAGAAGCTTGGGAAACTCCTTTGTCAGGATGCAATTCCTGTAGGTGAGCACAAGAACCAAGGCAAGGAGCAGCACAGACCAACCGAGGTTACAGTGCCCTCCAGCATACATGTGGGTCAAATCTGGGAGAGGGCCAGACTGAGCCATTTCATAACATCCACTGGCAGATATGAGAACCAGGATGGAGTGCAGGAGGGGCTGGGTAAGCCACAACAATAGTCAGTCCACAGTAGGGCCTGGAGTGGGAGTTGGCTGGACTTGAACAGGCTGCAAACCCACCAGCAGGAGCTGGAACAATGAGCAGGCTAGACAGAACCATCTTGATGCACCTGCTGGTGGATGCTGAGGGCTCCAGTGGGACCCAGTTCACCTGGCCTGGGTTCTTGGGTCTGCCTGTTAAAGTTCATTCTCTTCAATAAAAAAAAAAAAAAAAAAATCAAGCAGTGGAAAAGAGGCCAGGATACACATGGAGGATATGGCAGCTTATTGGAGCCTGAACAGGACATCTGGTACCACTGCAGAGAAAGGAAAACAGAGCAAATTGGACAACTACCCCGGGCAAGCAATGACAACAAAAGTCGGGGTGCATGGAGCCTCTAAGGTTGACTGTGTCAGTCAATGCACATTGGAAGGGTTCCCTGATCCTTTGATTGGTGAGGTTGACAGCATTCCAAACTATCAAAACCACCTCAGCAGAACCCTTTGAGAATGTGCCACGTTGGGATCCTGGTCTGGTCTCCGGGTTTGTTGTCCATCCCTGGGTACTAAGGCAAATTCAGAGGTTGGATAGGTCTTCTCACCTAATGTCCTCCCTTTCTCCAGATACAGGAAGAAGAAATAGAAAGTTTGGAAACAATGATCACACCCACTTTTCCCTAACCCTCAAGCCTTCTCACCCTGATCTGCAATCACCATCAAAACTAAAAATTAAAAATAAAAAAAAAAAAAACCAACAACAATGAAGCTGCTACAAACACTTCTATTCAGGTTTTG